GCATTTTAGTTTGGTCTCAGAGCCGCCTGCTCTCGCTCAGAGCGACGCATGTGCCGGGCCATCTGAACGACGGTCCAGACATACTGTCCAGGAACCTCATCTCATCAGGAGAATGGTCCCTGAACACACAAACGGTCCAAATACTGTGGCGGCTATTCGGCAGAGCAGAGGTGGACCTCTTCGCGTCAGAAGAGAACGCTCACTGCCCAATATTTTTCTCAAGGAGCGAGGACGCGCTAGCCCAGGAATGGCCTCGCCGCCCGCTCTATGCTTTCCCTCCGATTGCTCTGCTACCACAGGTAATTCAGAGGATCAGGGACACACGCCACTCGGTGCTCCTCATAGCCCCGCATTGGGAGAGTCAGAATTGGGTTCCGGAGCTCACTCAGCTGTCGCAGACAGCCCCGTGGCCCATCCCAGTCAGAGCAGATCTCCTCTCTCAGGCTCGCGGCACGATCTGGCACCCCCATCCACGGCGCTGGGCGCTACATGCATGGGTGATCAACGACTATTCGTTGATTTGCCAGAAGGAGTAAGAAACACTATCATACAGGCTAGAGCACCTTCCACGAGAAGGCTCTATGCGTCTAAATGGTCTGTGTTCTCAAAATGGTGCACCGAAAAACATCTGGACCCACGGTCATGCGAGGTGCCGTCTTTGCTTGTTTTCCTTCAAGAGATGCTGGACAAGGGCAGGTCCCCCTCCACTCTCAAGGTTTACGTGGCAGCCGTCGCGGCGTTCTCTGAACCCCGACGCGCTCAGTCCCTGGGCAAAGACGAGTTAGTCATCCGCTTCCTCAGGGGAGCTAAGAGGATGAACCCTCCGCGCCCCCCTTCGGTTCCTATCTGGGATCTTTCTATAGTTCTCGAAGCTATGAAAGCACCCCCGTTCGAACCGCTCGAGTCTGTGGACCTAAAATACCTCTCGCTCAAAACCGTTTTTCTGACGGCTCTGTCCTCAGTAAAACGCGTGGGGGATCTTCACGCGCTCTCATCCAGCGCCGCGTGTCTCGAGTTTGGTCCGAATGATTCTGTTGTCATTCTCAAACCTAGACATGGTTATGTCCCGAAGGCGATTGGTACCCCGTTCAGGGCTCAGATTATTTCCCTATCGGCTCTGCCTTCATCCGATAGTGAGCGCGACGCCAATCTCCTCTGCCCGGTGCGGGCTCTGAGATTGTACACTACGCGCTGCCGCGTTCAGACGCGCTGAGCAGCTTTTTGTGTCGTTTGGGGGGCGCACCAAAGGTCTGGCCGCCTCTAAACAGACACTGTCTAGATGGATAGTAGACGCTATCGCCTCTGCTTACGCATCTAAATGCCTGCCCTGCCCTCTGGGCATCAGGGCGCACTCCACTAGAGGCATGGCCTCATCGTGGGCATGGTCCTGTGGAATTTCCATTCATGACATTTGTGTGGCCGCGGGATGGGCCTCCCCGTCCACTTTTGTCAGATTTTACAACTTGGAAGTTCCCGCCTTGCAGGCAAAATTACTAGCTGTCTAAACGACCAGCTCCCTAAGAAGCTGCATTACTGGGAGTCCCTCACACAACCGGTTCGCCCCTTGTGCTCTCCTTAAATGCTTATACACTTCATGTGCCCGCTCTGCCGGCCTCATACATGCTTATGTATACACTTCATGTGCCCGCTCTGCCGGCCTCATAATACATTCACTCCACGTTAAAAATCCCCCGGTATCACCCTGGGATTCATGAGTGGATTCATAGCGCGCACGGCGTTGACCAGGTGTTCCCGCAGCGTAAGCTAGCTTACGCAATACGAGAGAACCTCTCGTAAGAGAACGAATCGGTTACCTAACGTAACCTCGGTTCTCTCTAGAAGAGGGAACGAGTATTGCGTTCCCGGCCGTGCTTGCGCTACTAGGGTTTCGCTTCACGCTGAAATAAATCAACATATAAGCCTGGGAGAGACTGTTATATACACCATGACCACGCCCATTCTGGCGGGCCATGACGCAATGAGCGCGCGGGCGCCTCTCATTGGAAGCGGGTTCAGCCCCGCTCTCCCATAGGCTTAAGCAGTTCTCTCTGAGCGAACCAATGAGCTGCTAGCTAGCCTGCTCTAGGTCTGCCGCAGAGGAACTGCGTTGTGTATGGATACAAATTATGAAATAATTTTTTGGCTTCAATATCTCAGCAAAGATGAATCTTTCCCGCAGCGTAAGCTACATTACGCAATACTCGTTCCCTCTTCTAGAGAGAACCGAGGTTACGTTAGGTAACCGATTCGTTTTAAGGGATACAATTATTAACTACAGGGGAAGAACTTCCTGTTTTTGTTGCTACATGGCGTCTGGCATTTGAAGTGCCAGAATCCTTAAATATTTATTTTTCTGTGATGTCAGGGTTATGTTTTGTTTTCTGTTAGCCAGTTTTCCTAGCCTGGTTAAAACCAGACCATTCTCAGCTGTAACTGAGTTATGGTCTGGCAAAGCATCATAGACAAATCATTTCCAGAGGGGCGTCACCAACGGACGTCGCGGATAGACCTAAACCCAATCAGAGCGATGAAGGAGATGACGTATGCAGAGCGGCGGAGACACATCTCCGAGTGTTGTTCTTTGCTCGGTTTTTAACTAAAAGGAAACGTTCAAATGGCTTAAAACAGACGCGATAGCTGATTCGAACGAGTGATGTTCGACGGCGGCATCCATCTTTGTAATGTAGGCTACAAAATCTGCTTCAAAATCCCAGCGCTGTCGTCATCGTGTAAAGCCCGCCCCAACGCTTCTGATTGGTGCCGCGATTTCGGCGGATTGGAAATGGGCTTGAATGAGCTCTTTGCCAGACTAACTTTCAGAGCAAATCTAAATTTGCCGGAAGTTGTCTGGGTTTTCCCAGGCTAGTTTTCCTGCTTGTCTCATTGAGTCATCCGGTTTACCTGTGCTTTATTAATGAACTCGTTAGCTCCTTTGTTTGCCCTCTTCATCCCTCAGTTTCAGCTGTTCTTTCTTTTTAACATCTACATTGAAGTGGTTGTTTATTCTGTATTTCCTTGTTTGAACTCACAATTAAAAGACTGTTTTGTTTCCTTCATCTTATATTGCATGAAAGCACAACAAATGTAGTTTGAACACAATGCAAATCGCTTTGGATAAAAGCATCTGCTAAATGCATGTATATGTAAAAGTTATGGCTATTATTAGTCCATATAATTGTAATATGTAAGATGTTGCTATAAGATTTAGAGCTGTTAGTGACTTTCTAACACCAGCCGTATGCTTTATGATCTGTTTGATCAGAATCTCCATATTGACATCATGCAATTCTGATCATTCACATTTCATGATGTAATATTTCCCTTCTCCATGAGTCTGAGATGGAGGCGGTTGTGTCGTGTGTGTGAAGGATTGGATGTAGTGGCCATGGGAAGATGAAGTATAGCAGGAACGATTGCCTCCCTCACAGTGTGAAAATTATCCCATTAATTCACTTCCCCCGGCTTCTCTCTCTCTCTCTCTCTCTCTCTCTCTCTCTCTCTCTCTCTCTCTCTCTCTCTCTCTCTCTCTCTCTCTCTCATATCCTGGTTGCCGAGGCAACTGGCTTGGAATGCCTCAATTTCCCCGTCACCCGGAGCCCTGAGTAAACAGAGGAGATTATCATTTCTTGTTCTGTGACAAACACAGTGTCGCGTCTGCTTGTCGTAGCGCTTGTGCTCTTGCTCTCTGGGTTCCTGCCGCTGTGTGACACATCAGATGTGACATCGATCCTCACAGTTATGCAGTGTGAGGTTATCGATGAAAGGGATTTTAAATCACAGTGTCTGATATGAGTAATAAAACACGGCTTTTGATATGAGCCGGTCTATTTGATTTGGTTTAAAGCTATATAAGCTCTGTGTTCCTCAAAACTGGTCAGCGATTTTTGCTGTGAAAATACTGATAAAAGTGACTGATCATCTGAAGAAATATTAAATTATGATATAAAACATGCAAGAAATAGATAGATAGATAGATAGACAGACAGACAGACAGACAGATAGATAGATAGATAGATAGATAGATAGATAGATAGATAGATAGATAGATAGATAGATAGACAGACAGACAGACAGACAGACAGACAGGCAGGCAGTTAGATAGACAAACAGACATTTAGATAGATAGACAGACAGACAGACAGACAGACAGTTAGATAGACAGACAGACAGACAGACAGTTAGATAGATAGACAGACAGACAGACAGTCAGACAGTTAGATAGATGGATGGATGGATGGATATTTAGACAGACAGACAGACAGACAGTTAGATAGATAGATAGATAGATGGATGGATGGATGGATGGATAGACAGACAGACAGACAATTAGATAGACAAACAGACATTTAGATAGATAGATAGATAGATAGACAGACAGACAGACAGACAGACAGACAGACAGTTAGATAGATAGATAGATGGACGGACGGACGGACGGACGGACAGACAGACAATTAGATAGATAGATAGACAGACAGACAGTTATATATAGAGAGAGATAGACAGATAGATAGATTTAAAATTTGTATAATTTAAAAAGATGAAGTAATTATAAAAAAATATGTATAGGCTAATTATAGATTTGAATTAGCCTATATTTTTAAATTATTTTTTATTTATTTAAATAAACACATTTCACAGTAATCATTCCTGCATGGGGTATTTATGTGTGTTTGAGGAATAAACTTGATTTATTTATTTAACTACTGTTCTTTCTTTCTTTCTTTCTTTCTTTCTTTCTTTCTTTCTTTCTTTCTTTCTTTCTTTCTTTCTTTCTTTCTTTCTTTCTTTCTTTCTTTCTTTCTTTCTTTCTTTCTTTCTTTCTTTCTTTCTTTCTTTCTTTCTTTCTTTCTTTCTTTCTTTCCCCGCATCTCAAACCCAGATCCCTGAACTCCAGCTCCGGGTTTTCCGGCTCCGTCGCTCCGCTCCAGTGGATCCGCGTCTCCGGGCCGCGAATGAGCTCATGTCGGGTTGCATTGCTTCAATGTCTCGCAGTGAGAGAAGCAAACAAGCGTAAAGAGCCATTAGAGCTCAAGCAGAGGAACTGTGTGTGTGAGTGACTGCAGATATTCGGGACATACTCTGATCATTGGGATTGTATCGCGTTGAGAATTAAGGACACTTGCTGTTTTGAAACCGAAGGTGAAATGTCGTTTTCCCAGCTGGTTTTTGTGCTGGTTGTACTGGATTTGGAGTAGATCTGAACTGTTCTGATGGCTGCAGTCCAGTGAAACCGGCCTGTCTTTGGATCTCCAGTGAGTGTGTGTGTGTATGAATGTGTGTGTGAATGTGTGTATGAATGTGAGTGTGTATGATGAGTCCGTATGTGTGTGTGTAACCCCTGCACATTTTCTTGGAGGGCTATTTTTCGTGTGTTTTGGATCTATGGCATGCATCTAGATCGGGCTGGGTCCTCTGGGGGGTAAGTGCGCATTTTTATTATGTTTTATGTATTTTGTGAAGGATATTTGTGCTGCCACTTATCTTGTGTCTTTAGCTTTAGCCGTCAGGATTAGCACTGCATTGACCTCATGGCTTTATTCCATGTTTGCACACCTGAAATGTCATTGTAATGGCGCAAGAGTGTGATTTATTTAATTATGGTTATTTAAAATGAAACATTAATATGTAAGTTACACGTGTTGTTTTAGATTTCTTTTTAAAAACGGTTTACGTGTGTTTTGGTTGATTTTGGCGCTTTTTTACGTTTTATCTCAGGTGTATTTTGGATGTTTAATGTCACAAATATATATTCTTGTGTGAGTTTGTTATTTTTTTGTTTGTTTAAATTTCTTTACAATTAAATCAGTCTGAATGCTAATGCTAACTGCTCTTTGTCATATCCGCCGTTAGCTCTGCTAGCAAACCTCGAGTGTCTTAAACGGTGTAATGATCATTTGACAGCGACAGAGGAGACGTTTGTGTTTTTATAGATGAGAGGTTTGTGATTGATCTGTTGGGCTTGATTTGTGTGACGGTTTGATCAGTTATTCGTGTGTGTGTGTGTGTGTGAGAGAGCGAGATAAACTCGTGCTTACAAAAGCTAAAGCGGCTAAACAACGTGTGTGTTGAATAGAAAGACACAAGATTCACTCACTGTATTTTTCACAAAGTCATATAGCAGTATTATTGTATTCTTTAAGTGCCTTCTAATATCTTAACTGCCATAACCCATTAATAAGTATATTATTAACCATGGTAAGACCATGGTTTGGACATGTAGGACATCATCACTTATTGAAAAGTACCATGTTTTTTTAAATGTACCATGATATTACCATGCTTTTGGACACGTATTATGAAAGTTACTTGGTATTACCATGTGTTTGGACATGTACGATAGTTTTAACAAGTTTTTGGACATGTTCCATGGTGTTACCATGTTTTTTGGACACGTATTATGATAGTACTACTGTGGTATTACCAAGTTTTGGACGTGTACTATGATAGTACTGTGGTATTACCATGCTTAATTTGCACGTGTACTATAATAGAATTGTGGTATTACCATGTTTTGGACGTCTATTATGATAGTACTGTGGTATTACCATGTTTTGGACTTCTATTATGATAGTACTGTGGTATTACCATGTTTTGGACGTGTACTATAATAGTATTGTGGTATTACCATGCTTTTGGACACATATTATTATAGTACTGTGGTATTACCATGCTTAATTTGGATGTGTACTATAATAGAATTGTGGTATTACCATGTTTTGGACGTCTATTATGATAGTACTGTGGTATTACCATGTTTTGGACTTCTATTATGATAGTACTGTGGTATTACCATGTTTTGGACGTGTACTATAATAGTATTGTGGTATTACCATGCTTTTGGACACATATTATTATAGTACTGTGGTATTACCATGCTTAATTTGGACGTGTACTATAATAGTATTGTGGTATTACCATGCTTTTGGACACATATTATTATAGTACTGTGGTATTACCATGCTTAATTTGGATGTGTACTATAATAGAATTGTGGTATTACCATGTTTTGGACGTGTATTATGATAGTAACGTGGTATTACCATGCTTTTGGACATGTACCACGATAATACTGTAGTATTCTTGAAAGTACGTTGGATGGATTACGATTTAAATACAATGACACATAGTTTTAGTATCATACCAATCAAAATATCATAGTAACATCATAAGGGTACCATGGTACAATACATTAGAGTACCATGGTATAATAGTGACTGGTATGACTTTTAATGGCAGATCGAGAGAGCAGGGGGTTGATATGTTCAATGCAATTCAATGATAGCAAATACAGTATATAAAATGTTTGGTGCAATATTTGCTCAGTTCACTAAAATGTTTGATAACAGAAGCGTTTCATTGGCAGTGCGTTCTGGATTTGACATTGCGGTGAAACAACAGTTCAGTAATGACTACAGCATATAATGCATTCGCACTCACTCCCATAAGCAATCATGATGTTTCTTAATTTAATCACCTTAATATTGTTACAAACCCTTTGACTTCTGTTGAACACAAATGGTACGTTATTGGACATTTCTCAGAAAAGTCATGCATGTTTTGTTTGAGTAAATGATGGCAGAATTGTCTTTGTTGGGTGAACAGAGAACACACACACACACACACACACACACACACACACACACACACACACACACACACACACACACACACACACACACACACACACACACACACACACACACACACACACACACACACACACACACACACAGAGATTGAAAACTCTCAGGTTTCAGCAGTGCATTTATAAAGCAGTTTGGTGGAGCGAGGGTCATTTATCAGGAGAAACGGCAGCTTGATGTGTGTTGGTGTCAGTTTGTCTTCCTACTGCAGTAATTATTGTGTCCTGTTTAGTTTGCTGAAGGGCAGAATCATCCCTCGAGTGTCTTTCCTCATTCCTGCCCTGAAACCGCACAAAATCTTCGTGAAAGGCAGCCAGTGTTGACATTTTGCCCATTAATGATCAGAGATTCAGACACACTCACACACACACACACACACACAGAGAAAAGCCCTGAACATTTACATTATGCATTTGGTAGACGCTTTTATCTAAAGCGACTTAAGCCTCTTTCACACCGCGCGTTGATCCCGGGAAATTGCCAGAACGCCTTCTGTGTGAGCGCAAACACGACCCGGGATCGATGCCGGATTGAGGATCTTGTAACATTGCTGTGTTCAGTCCCAGAACGCGCGGTGTGAACAAAAGCCGTAATCAATGCCGTAATGATGACGCTGAAGCCGGGATCGTTCGCTAGTGAAACGGTGCGTAATGCGCTAGTTCGAATCAGAGAAGAAAATGCACAAGCGTGGTTTATCGAGAGAGAAATCGCAGCTCATAAGCAAACTGAAGACGCTGCTGAGATATTGTCACATCGATGTCACGTGTCTTTGCAGGATTTTTACGGGTTGTGTGTGTACACACAATGGGTCTCATTCATGAAACATTCGTAAATATACGAGTAAATATGAGAGTGATTTGCGTGTAAAGAGACCTTCCTGAAAACTCATCTCCTGATTCACAAATACTTCGTAAACGTCAGATGTGATCGTGAAATGTGTGTGTGTGTTAATGAATTCCAATCAGTCGTAAATGGGACGCGCGTGCACGCTCATTCTCAATTACCATAAATCCCGCCCATTAAATCCGACTGACAACTATATACGGGCATCATACTATGACACCAAACGAAGGATTTCAACATGTCTTCTCAAAAATGAATGAAAAAGTGTTGAACCGGTGTTACCGGTTTTAAGCCCCATCACCGGTGACATCACTTTCCTACCGTGACACCGCGATGTCTTGACTTTTTTAAAGTATTCGTTTTTGCTAAAATATTTATTTGAATTAATTAAAAATAATAATTATCAATTATTTAGTTCAGAAGAGAGCATACATTATAATTAAAAACTGAACTGCGCAGTGCGTGCCAAGAGCCAGTCACGTCACAGATCATCAGCAAGCATCAGGATTCCATTTAGCACGTGTGGAGATGAGAACGAGTCAAATTACAGAAAAGCAAGATAATGGCGGAATGTGTAATTTATTTAGGCCTGTTTTATTTTCTTATTCGTTAATAAACGTTTTATGGTTCTTATTTGTTTGGGCCCACAGTTTGACGATTTTCAGCCTATGCGTTATTTTTATTTGTTCGTTATGCTAATAAAAGTTCTGTCTATAAATAAAAGTTTTATTATCAGCGAGCCGAGTTTTTTTTTTTTTGTCCATTCAAGCAATTGACGCTTATTTCGAAAGTGAAAGTATAACGCGCACGCATTTAAAAGCTATTTAAGCCCCCCGCCCCGCCCCCCACGGTGACACCGGGATTACCGGTGTTGTGACACGTCGATTAACCGGTGGGAAATTTTCCTCACCGCGGCAACCCTAGCGCGTTCACAGATAACCTGGTGCACACGCACTGACGAGCATGAACTCGGTGGGAGGGTATCCGTTGATAGTGGGGGAGGGGCATGAGAGTTGTAAACATTCAAATTTTTGCCTAAGTCCACTCAATCTGCCAGACTTGCCGACAGCAGCTTTAATTGACCTGCAGACTTTGTGATTTCACAGTATAGCACTATTGCAATCGAGTGCTGTATCTGAACTGAGTAATTGTGACAGCCCTACTTTCAATATGCAGACAATGCAATATATGACCGATATTTCTGATGGTGAAATGGTTTCTTGTTCAGTGACAGTGTGGTTTAATTCTCTAAGTGCATTAAAAACAAACTCCTAAAGCTACTGTGTGCTAGCTGGAAGTGCTAATGTTTGAGTAATGGATTCATTTCAACTGTTCGTTCACTTATTGCTGTTGAAAAACTCATAGTTCTGGATATGAGAATTCAGTTCCAGAAATGAATACGTTTGGAAAGTACCTGACTTTACGGCACGCTTTTAGGGTATGCGAGTTGCGTTTTGAATTGTTCTCGAGCACTGATCAGTGTGAGTGTGCTCTGATTTGTGTGCATTATTATATAGAGAGAGTCATTTTTATGGTAGTTGCACCGAAACTCAGTTGTTTGACTCTGGATCTTATGTTACCTAGTTTCCCAGGATTGCTTCTGGCTTTGTGTGGAAAAGCACCTGAAATCTGAGCTTTATAACCGGCCTTTATTCAAGATTAACACAGCATTTTTATTAAGTCCATGACGCTTTTTTCTGTTGCGTTACAAGCATTGTTAACTTAATTATGCCACAAAATGTTGACAATTTTGAGATTATTGTGATTATTATGGTTACAATAAGGTGCATTAGTTAATGTATTAACTAGCATGAACTAACAATGAGCAATACATTTGTTACAGTATTTATTAATCTTTGTTCATGTTAGTTCACGGTGCATTAACTAATGTTAACTAATACAACCTTTGATTTTAATAATGTTAGTAAATGTT